ACTAATCCAATTACTTATGAAATAAGAAATCAGGACTTCATTCCTACTAGTTTAAAAAAATTAGATTTAAGAAGTAATAAGTTTAACCAAAACTTATCTTTTTTAGTCTCTTATACTAATTTAGAAAATCTTTATTTAGGAAATGATTGAAATGATTGGCAAGCAAGATTTGACCAAGGTATTTATAATAAATTTACTGGTTCCCTAGATTATTTAAGTGATATGAAGCAGTTAAAATGACTTGATATTGATAATACTGATATAAATGAAGTAAATATAGATAAACTACCTAGGAGTTTAAAAAGGATTGAATATTCTACTAAAGAAAGACCAGATTGTAAACTAACTGAAATTATTCCTTTATTAGATAAATATTTTGGTAAACATGGTCGTTGCTTCAAATGTTGATTAGCTAATACTAGCGAAAATTGATGTCAACCTTGTACTGAGGAGGAATGACAACAATTAGAAGGTCAAGAACTAATTAATAAGTTTATTGAACAGCAAAAATCAAGAGAAACTTATGGATACAATGAATTAAAATGAATACCTTATGAAGAATTCACTGATATCAAACATCTAGCAGATGGTGGTTTTAGTAAGATTTATAAGGCTGAATGAGGAGAATATGAATATGATGATAGAATAGTTGTTCTAAAATCCCTTAATAATTCCCAAAATATTACCTTTGAGTTCTTAACCGAAATTGCTAATACTAAATTGGTTGAGAATGGTGGTTATATTGTAAGTTGCCATGGTATTTCCCAAGACCCTACTACTAAGAACCATCTAATGGTAATGGATTATAAGGAAGGGGGTAATCTTAGACAATATTTGCAGAATAAGGATAGTAGATTAAGTTTGAAAGATAAACTTAAAAAGTTAAAAAATATTGCTGAGGGATTAGAAAGCATTCATAACCAAAACCTAGTCCACCAAGATTTCCATAGTGGGAATATATTGAATAGTAGTTGGGAAAGTCATATTACTGACTTAGGACTAAGTAGACCAGTTAATCATCTAAAAAAGACCGGGCAAATCTTCGGAGTTCTGCCTTATGTAGCACCGGAAGTATTAAGAGGTGAGACTTATACTCAGAAAGCAGATATTTATGGTTTTGGGATTGTTGCTTATGAATTATTGACTAATGCTTATCCTTACCCTGAAATGAATGAGACTGAATTAATGTTAGAAGTATGTTTGGAAAATTCAAGACCTGACCTAGATAAAGTTTCTTTACCCCAATTACTTAAAGATTTAATTAAGAGATGTTGAGATAGTAATCCTGAACAGAGACCTAGCGCTGAGGAGTTATATGATATTATTAGTAGTTGAATTGGATATGATGGAAAAATTAAAAAAAACACCCCTTTTTGCCAACAATACAAAGAAATAAAAGCAGAATATAATACTTTCTCAAAAAACACTCCTTACCAAATTCATCCTACTGCCATCACTACTAGCAAAATGATAGATACTAGACAAATTACGGAATTGCTATCAAACCTAGACCATTCTTTAGAATTAAGATTCAAAAACATCATCAGTTATCAAACTAAAGAATTGGGTTTTGACATTAAAACACCAATTTCTACTCAAGAAATAACTAAAAGAATTAGGTCAATGTCCATGGAGGAAGCAAATCAAAAAGAATACAAGGCATCAGTGAAGCAAACTAAATTGGTTAAATTAGAAAGAGAACAAAAATACTATTCAGAACCAATGGAAATTGCTGAAAGTAATTCAGCAGAGCAAATAGATGAAAGTGTTCAAAGTCAAGTTTGGAAAGATATTAGTCCTAATTTCACTAACGAATTAATCAAATCTTGGCAATCCTATAACTTTAATCATCAGCAAACTCAAGAATGAATAAATATCGGATTGCAACCAACTGATTATAATTTCTGTGCCTGACTGAGGGATGCAAAGCAAGTAGATGCTGAACAAGTTCTTAACCATGGCAACCTAGGACAGTTAAACCAAGAGTATTTTCAGTGATGGCAAGAGCAACAGCAAACTTAGATTGAACAATCTACTAAATAAATTTAGGCACTATAAAAAAACTCTAATAATGTAATATATATCATAAATAAGAGAAAACAGATTCTTGTAATTCTATTTTTTAACAAAATTAGATTATAGAAAGGAAATTAATTTTAGACAGAACCTGACATTAATTTTGAAAAATGCTATATAGTTTAATTTTTGCTCTAAACCCCCCGAAAATAAGGAATTACTATAAAAAACTCTAATAATTTAATATATTATAGTATCCAAAATTAGAGTTAATTATTTCTTTTGATTTCTTTATTATTAAAAGACTTTTTTTGCTGAACTTACTGATATTAGTTTGTGATATTGTGATAATTTATTATATTTTTCACTAACTAAATTAGGCTATTTTTAACCTGTTTTTTTTTTTTTTTTTTGCTAAAACTGTATTTATAAAACAAATATTTATCCGTAATTTATGAGCAAACAAATAATTTTAGCAATTTTACGAGGTAGTAAAGATTACAATAATGACCCACAATATGGAGAGGGAAAAGTCGAAAGCATTAAAGAAGAAGTCAAAGAGTTAGGAATAGAAGTAGATTTAATTGAAGAACACTTATCAGAGGAAAAAGCCCAAAGTTTTTACATAAGGGGTAGCCTTGACACACGGAGTAGATTTAAAACAAGTCTTTTTAATGAATGACTAAATAATAATCAAAATATTTTAAAAAAAGTCTCCACCCAAAACAACAATCAGAGAGAACCCGAAACTTCCACCGGAAATAGCAACGGAAATTATAACTTTTTTACCCTCGAAAATATTAATGACCCAAAAAAGCAAAAAGCCGAAATGGAAAAAGATATTATTAATCAGAACTGGGAAGAAGGAGTTCGAAAATTAATTAAAGGCCAAGGTGAATCGGAAAAACTTTTTAAAGAAATTTTATCTTCATGAAAACAATACAGGTTAAAGAATAAAATAGTAGATATTTTAGGGAATGGAGATGATGTAGGATTTAATGCAGTTGAGGAAGAAATTTTTTTAGATTTCGATGAAACTTTTTTTTCCAAAGCATGTTTAGTGCCTAGGATTAAATCTATTTATGAAAATTTAGAAACACTTATAAAAGAAAGTTTTTCAATTCCGTTATCCCGAGACGATAAAGATTTTATTATAACTAAAATAGAAACTAAGTTCAAAATTGAACTAATGGAAAAGCAGAAAAATAAAGTTAAAAGTTTAGCCAAATATTTAACTCGTCTAGCAATTGAGGAACTTCTGACCGAAAATCCCTTGGAACAAAATGTCAATCAAACCAGTTGAGAAAATAAATTAATGGAGTTAACCAATCAGAATTTTACTGACAACACAAAACAAAAACTTATCGCCCAAAGTGTTGCTTATAATCTCATTAGCAAATATGGTTTTTTAGGACAAAATTCAGCGGCAGAAGCGAAGGCTTTGAAACTAAAAGAAATTTTGAGTAAATATAAGGTAGAATTAGACCTTAATAGAATTAAAGAAATAGTTTGCGAAGCTTGGCAGGTTTTCCATGCTGGTTTTAAAAATGATTTCAGGAGGAACATTTCGTTTACCTGAACAGTTCCGAATGAGAAAGACAAAATTGATTTTATTTACATTTCGGATAAAGAAAATGAAAATATGGAACTTTCAAGTTTTTTTCCAACCTTTCCTTACTTTTTCGATGAGAAAGGATATATTGAAAAAATGTCGGTAGTGGAAATAGCCGCTTGGAAAGAGGAGGCTTCTTTCGAAAACGACAAGAATAAACCATTACCTACTCCCGAACAACTTGAAGAAGAATCAAAAAGGCAAGCCGAAAAAAAGAAACGAAAAGAAGCAGAAGAAATTAAAGAAAATATTAAAAATCTGGCTGATAAAAATTTGTCAGAGGAGAAAAGGAGAGAGGCATTAGAAGAATTGGAAAGAAAAGAGGGAAAAAATAGTTATCAAAACAAAAAGACTGAATTTCAAAATTCTAAAAAAGAACTTTTTAACCAAAATCCTAGTGAGTATAAAAAAACCATGGCCAAAGTTTTTAAAAAGAAACTAATCATTAATGAATTGGATGAAACCCCTGAACTAGTTAACTTAGTAAATGAATGGGAAAGCAGTAATTTTGACAATTATGAGAAAAGCGAAGTTTTGGAAAATAAAGTGAAACAAAAAATCGGTCAAACCGCAGCCAGCAATAAAATAAATAAAATCGAAAGTAGAATTGAGAAAGCCATAAAATCCGGCAATAAGTCGGAAATGTTGTCAGTTTTAAAAGTTTTATTGGCAATTGTTAAAGATACTAGCGAGGACATTTATTTGTCCGAATACAAAAATCAAACCCAAAACTGAGTGAAAAAACTAGAAGGCAAAATTTCCGAAAATAGAACTAATTTGGCTTCGGATAAAGGTTTTTTCCGCCCCGAAGTGCTAATTCCGGTAGTGCTGGGAATTATTTTTTTAGCAAGTTTGACCGTAGCGGTCATTCGTTCTAAACGAAAAAAAATAACTAAGTAAAAAAATAATTTGCTTTGGTTTAGTTTTTATTCGAGAAAATTTATAATTTTATGGAAGAGTAACAATTTTCCCGAGCGGGACCGGAACGAATTTTTAAAGGAATCACTGATTATTTAAGGAATAATTAAGAGAACCATGGAAAGGAAATGATTATAAACTACCGGAATAAAGAAAGTTTTGAAAGTATAACAACAAATAAAAAATTTTTCAAAATAATTATAGAAGTTTAATTATTGGTTTTATGCCTAAAATTTGGTTATTTTTTTTGAAAAGATTTGTTTGATAGGGTTTTAGTTATTATCTTTCCGGTTTTGCTTTTTTCTCTCGCTAATCAACTTCAAAAATGATAGCATAAAAAAGTCTGTTGACCGCAAACTCATAATCTATTCTCTTGAATTTAATATCGGCAATCTTTTCCACTTCTTTGATTTTTATTTCTCCGGAGTATTTATTAGCCTTAACCAGATAACCCATACAGTGCTGATTTTTTTTATCAAAAGCCTGTTCGCTAACTATTTCTAAATCTTCAATTATTAAGTTAGTTTCTTCAAAGACTTCTCTTTTGGCCGCTTCTAAGGGCGTTTCGCCCGGTTCTATTTTTCCACCTGGGAAAACTCAACAATCTCATTTTTTTTGAAAAATCACCAATAATTCTCCTTTTTCATTTTGGATAATTACTCGCACGAAATTTTTAACCGACATATTTATTAACCTATTTTATATGTTTATTATTGCAAACAGTGTCCATTTACAACTTAATCAATCATTCTCTTTTATTTTCTTTTGAAAAAACGGAAGCCCTAATCAAGTTTCTAATTTCTCATCAAATTTGTAGTTTATTCTTCCTTTTTGTGGATCATGAGAAGCAATAATGCGAACCAAAAAAGCATAATTCTCAGGGTTATATTTATCAATTTTTTCTTTTAAGTAATCTAGCACCTTTTTTTCTATTATTTCTGTAGAATCAAGAGAGTGGCTTTGATAAGTAAGAACTCCACAGATCTGCCTTTTTTCAATGTTTTCGGCATAACTAACTAAATCTACGGCAGGAAGAGTAATAACTTTTTCTTCCTTTCTAATTTCTCTCTCTAAGAATTATTGTTCTCTACTTCTTGATATGGCCCGGAGGACTTGAGATTAATCCCAAAGTTATTAATATGCTTTTCTAAACATAATTTACTAAAAAGTTTTATTTTTTTGTGTTGGCGATTGAATCATTTGGACTCGTTGTTCCTCTTGCAGTTCTAAATTATCTAACTGGTTTTCCGCTTTCTCAACTTCTGCTTTCTGATTTTGCAAATATTTTCTAGTAATTTGGTTTTGGTTAGCATGTTTGTTCTTTAACTCTTCTAGTTCTTTTTGCAACTTATTGTTCTTATTTTTCTCTATTTCCAACTCGTTTTGTAATTGGGCGATTTGCTCTTGTGCATTATTCAATTTTTCCTTTTGTTTAGTTCTCTTACTCTTTTTTTTGGAACTAGAACTGCTTTCTAATTTAATTTCTATCTGTTTTTCCGGACTTTCTTTTTTTACTTTACTTACTAACTCTTGATTATTTTCTCTTCATTTTTTTAGGCTAAAATTGTTTCCTTCTTTATAATTCTTTAACTCCTCTCATACCTTCCTAACCTTCCCTTCATTAGTATTCGACAAATGTGGTCACGGAGCCCCAATTTTTTCTAAACTATCTGGCAAATATTCTAATCCTGAATCAATATCGGTATTGTCAATAGTCAATACTTCTAATTTAGTTAGGTCTTTTAAAGGTTCTAAACTTCCATAGAAACGATTTTTATAAAGAGCAAGATGAGTTAAATTACTAAACTGGCGAAAAATTTCTAAATTCTGAGTTGGAAAGTTATTGTTTTCTAAAAAAAGTCTGGTTAACTTTTTGGGACTAGGTAATTGATCAAGGAAATCAAGACTAGTTAGTTTATTATTCACACAATTAATTTCTTGTAAATTACTTAAACCATTAACATTTAAACTTGTTAATTGGTTAATTCCGCATTGAAGGATAGTTAATTGAGGACAATTAGTAATGTTCAAATCCGTTAATTTACCATCCGAGCAAAAAATTTTAGTTAAGTTAGGGCAATTGTTAAACTCTAACTTAGTGAAATTACTAGGAAAAGAAGAAAATGTTTTTAAATTATTAAATCCTTCAATCTTCAAAGTCCCTTCTAACGATTCATTATAATTCAATAATCCTTGTTGTCTCAGAACAAGGGTGCCAAGGATTAATTCGGTAATTTTTGACTTATCAGGATGACGTTTATCCAATCACTTTTGTGCGTTTACCATATTATTACACTATTCAAATTAATTTCCGCTTTTTAAAAATATGAAACCAATAACTAACTTTAAATATAAAAAAAATAAC